CCAACAGAAGTGCAGCAGCAGCATTCAACCTCATCAAGAAAAAGATATCAACATCAAAAGTGAGAGCGAAAGCCATAAAAAGTGTGTGTGTGAAAGAAAAATCGTGTTAAGAGTGAAAAAAAAAATCCATTTCTCAAGTTAAGTCTTTTGAGATGAAAATCGCCTTTGCACAAGAATGAAAGGGACAAATTTTTTGTGTTGCTACTGAAAAGAAAAATGTTAAATGTAAACACTAAAAACTTCATAAAGGAAAATAATTTAAAGTTTAAATGATTGCATTTCAGTCAAAACGAGGAAAGAAAGAACGCACACACACACACTGACGGAAGGAGCAAAAAAACACATCAAATCATCTGATGGCAATCTTTTGTCTAAGTTTTGTTGAAAAGAGTTTTAGATTTTGTGTGAAAAGAAAATTGCATCCGTATACTGCCAAATATATAGACGTAGATCTGCATACATGTATATCCTTTGGATGAATTAATTAAAAGCCAACCGTTTGGACGATATTTAATCAAAATTCTCGACTGAAGCGAAGAAGTTTGATTGATTTTTGAAAACTTTGAATGAATTTTCTGTGAAGGTATATTACATTCAAATTTTAAAGCATACCGTCGTTGGGCTCGTCCCAATATGAAGTTTTGAAGTAGGCGAAAAAAAAGGCGTTTGCTTGCACAGAAAGTAGATAAAATCTTGTTGGAATATTTATGATGAAATAATTTGGGTGTATGTTGTAGATAGTTTGAAACGTTCAAAATGTCCCACTCAATCGGTTCACAAAATACTCTATATTGATTTTATCGGTACTTGAGACAGGTGAAAAAGTAATGTTAGTTGTGTTTTTGTTTATTTTCCATCACATGATTTTGTTTGACTTTTACCCGACCGTAACAAACAAACTACAACAATAAAAACAGGAACCATTACATTTCAATACCGTTATCATACGACAATGAAAATGCATACATTTACTTATTAGGAAATCGAAATGCGTCACATTTACTTAATCCATCACAATATAGTAAATTGAGTGACAGACGCGTACACAAGCCACAATGAAATAAAATTAAAATAAATTCGCACATTGTCTTCGGTGGATGTATGAAGTGGAGGAGAGAGAGGGAGAGCGAGAAGAGTTGAGAAGTGCTGAATACACAAGACTGAAAGCCAATATATGATGGTGAATTAATTGTATTTTAGTATTGAATATAATTCAATTACTGCCTAATCCACAACTTATTTAACTTCGGTAATGGGAGGCCAGCACAATAAAGCGAATTCAATGCTCATGTTCATTCGAGTGACCGGTTTGAGTTTTTGTCGCAAATCGAGAAACTGGGCGAAACACTCGAACTCTGAAAAGATAACTGAAAAGAGAACGACCGGATTGTGGAGAGTGTGATATAAGACCAGTGAGCGGATGCTGTAACAATTATTAAGCCCAACTTACTTGAGCAACGTGTCTCAGTTCATTCAGTTTGAATTGGTAATATGGCGGAAATCGAACGATAGACGTACCAAAGAAAATATCTCAATAATTTGCCACACTAAAATTAACTTAACGAAGTAAATAAATTTCATTTGTCAAGTTTATTTTCGTTGAGTTCAATTTTCTACCAGCTGGTTCGATGATGGCTGGAAAAGTAAAGTGTCGTAATATAAATAGACATTTCAAAATGCCTTCCAGATCTATATTGATTTGATATTTTCTATCTCTCTAGAAGTGTGAAAAAAAATCCAATCACCTGAGTACTGTATTTCTTACGAAATTCATCCATTCTCAAGTTTGAAGCAGAAATCACAAATATTGCCATTAAATATACATAATGTACGGTATGTATGATTGTATGTGTTTATTCGGAAAAGTTTCGACTTATGAAAAGTGTTGGTTCATCACTATCATTGAAGAAAAAAAGAACCGTCGAAATATATACGGAGTTTGTGCACGATCCCACGTTAATAATATTAAACAAGTCAAATCCAATTTATGGCATTGAATTCACTTAATTTTAGTTCACATTGTGATTGTCATCGCTCATCATTCTATTATTATATGTGTATATTTTCGATTATATTGCGAGTGCAAGTGCACATACTTCAATTTCAACCGCGATTCAGTCTCTTCTCATTCATTTAAAATCGTTCATATTTGTCATTGAAATCGGTTGCGAATCGATTTTTGTACACTTTTTCTTCGCACGAATTCTACGTCGAAAAACCGAATAATAATTCATGGCGCATTATTGTATTTTGATGTAACGAAATTGCATTTTAATTCTAATACGAGTACAAGCGCAGCGTTTTATTTTTCAATATCTATCATTCGGTGTTCAGAAGTTCATATGTTAACCGATAATGCGTTCTTGAAGAACAGTACATTAAAATATCTTGCACGAACTGCGGTAAACGATGTGTGTGTGTATGTATTTATTGGTGAATGTGTGTCATATGTGCCGTACCATATAAAATCCTCGTATTTTTACATTTGTCATTATAATTCGATTTCGATTGCTTTTACGGTAGCACGATTCAGTCATTGTCAATTTTAGATGACAAAATCGCATTTTAAAGTGATGCAAAATTCATTTACACTACGGGAAAAAAGGCACCATTTGATTTTTACGACGAAGTAAAAAGTGTTTGTTATGCCGAAAATGAAGAATTGCTTTTAATCAAATTGCATAACTAGATTGGATGAAGCATTTTATCGTGTTTATGGTAGCGAAAAGTTGTGTTCATAGATTTTTTTTCCGAAACTAACACATTTTTATTTCCGTACACTCGGTTTATGATCGATGGAAAACAGCGAATTCCAATGAAACGAATACCGTGTGGGCTTGGGCCATTGTAAATTGTTTTAAATACGGATATGGGAGGTGAATGAGCATGAAAAGTGCATTAATTCGTGCAAAATTCACATAAATTGACATGTACCGCGTAAAATTTAAGCATTTTGTTTTTATTTGCAAAATTTTTCGCATTTCCACACGGTAATCATGATAGATTGGAAACATTGTCATTGTTGCAATGAAAGTAATAGCAGTAAATAGCCTTCCATTTTCCAAATAATGATTTTTCGAATTGTTTTAGAGTACAAATATCATCATGATAGAGCTTCATTGTCCTTAATAAATTTTTTCTTTCATGTTAAGTATTCGAAAAAACTTTCACACTTCTGCGGTTGAGTTGCTTTCGCGCATATTTGTGCGTTGCAGACAAACGAAAATATGCTGCGGTCGCGGTTTTTTGTCAAATTCATTTAATCATGATGTAAATTGATGAATAATTTACTTCGGTTAGTGTTGGTTACATACATATTGTGGTCATCGTACAAATTTATCTGAAAATGGTTCTTGCGAAAATACAACGTTGAACATTCGATGGCATTCATGCTCTGCCGTTCGATAATTGCGAATGTATTTTTTTCTGCTCGTTCAACTATAACAATAAACATAGTATAACATATGTTATAACGCAATACCAACTATAAAATTAAATGCAATTTAAAATTAATGTTTGTATGGTTGGCCCAATGAACAACACCGAACACACACTTTTGTTTGGTATCAACAAATACACCGTACACAGTACGTTGTTAGTTCGAATATTTAACCACAAAAATGTGTGTGTTTTCAAGTTGTTTAAATTGAAAATGTTACATAAAACGATGACCCAAAGTGGCATCACATCATTTGTTCGACAATATATACCCCCATTTCTAATTCCAATGCGGTTTATGTGAAACATTTATTCGAATTATGTTGGTAGATAATGTTCAGCAGATGCCATCAAGCAATTTGAACTCCGCCTGTTGAGCTTTTGCCAAATAAGGCGAATGTTAATTGTGGATGTTAAACATATAAACGAATTTGTTTCAATTTAAAGCGCAATTCATTGCCAATTTGTCTTTTGAAAGAAAATGAACAAGAATCGATTTAAAATAATTCAAATTGAAGAATCATCTTGTTCCAATTTCAATATAATAGGACAAAGTAAATTTTAGCGTTTTGAACATATATGCTATTCCAATGGTTGTCTATAGCATACTTGATATTTTCCTTTGTTTTAATGAGGTATCCATCCCATTAACATGATGACATCCATCATTTTGTTATGAAAATCAATCGAAGAAAAAACGTATTGACATATATAATTAAGAAGCGTGTAAAACTGACAACACATGTGCTACAAAGAATGTATGTGTGTGTCCCTTATACATTTTCATCGATTGCCATTGACCGACTTATTCTTTGTGACGATGTTTTTTTTTTTGGAGAATCGAACAATTCGACGTAGTCCCAACGAATTTTTCTTAACGAATTCATTTCTTATAGTCATGTTTTGTGATTGATTTTTTTTCAGTTTGTTTGTATTGGTTTTTCGATAATTTTAATCACACAAAGAAAAACGTCTCAAAGTTGTTGAGTTATACGTGAATAAGTTGCGTTGTTTGTATATATCTTTTGTGTGCGATGATATGGAGGGGATGTGTGTTGTTACCGCTTGTGCGGAGTGTTGAATGAAGATAATTCGGTAAGTAAACACAGTGGTTTTTTGGCTGATAGATTTGAGTTGAAATTTTGTCGTGTGTTTGCGATCACGATAAAATGACCGAAATCGATTTCACAGTTTGTTCAAACCGTACCAAATAAAAGCCATTGATGGAATTTATTTTACAATACACATACAGATATATATCAATCTCTACGAACGCATTGGATAAAAGCCGATCCTTCAATTCATTTCTTATTCTATTGATTTCGATGTTTCAAGCACACCATTTTGGTGATTTATATCATAAATGAACTCATTTAATATTACACGAACGAGAAAACAAGGAAATGAACACAATAATATAAAGAGAGTTTGAACAAAGAAATTATATGAATACAGTAAATAATTTACTGAAAAGAACTGTTTTGTGTGTTTTGGGGTGAAAGTGTGAATGTAGTTGAGGGAATAATTTAAATGTTGCATTGGTGGTGCATCAAATAACATACCTGAAGGTTGATGTTTGGCGGTGATTCCGTTTCAATTAAATCTACACACAATATTTTTCTCTCTCTTTCTCTCTCTCTCTCCCCGGTATGTATGTTCTCTGTTGTAATTAATTCCGTCTTCTTTCAAGTGTTTTATTTCTCTTTTGGATGCGATGGAACTTTATTTTACCGCTATTTATCTAATTTTCTGTTGTTATGCATCTATTTTCCAATGATTTGACTAAAAAATATTTTGGCTGGTTCTTGTTCGGCATTTATGCCGGTTTCTTTCAATTTATTAAATCGCAGTTTACATTATTTATAACTCGATTTTGTGTTTTGAAATGTCGTTCATCTAATTTGGTTGCATGGTAGGTGTTCTTGGTTTGGTTCGCATTATTGTTACTTAATTGACATACTTGATTTTTCGTGTTGTTTTAATTTTTGTTGTTTATTCGAGTTTTTCTTTATTTCCATATGGTTAATAATAAGCTCTTTGAAGTTCTTACGATTTTATTTAAATTTATTTGAGTTTCGTGAAACGTTTTTCTTTTATTATAAGTTAAAGTTTTGTCGATAAATGTATACAAAAATAATTCCTTTTATTTTCTTTTTTTTATTAATCTAAGTTTGGTTTATCTCATGATCGATTCATCATTTACGATATATATTTGTGTTTGGTCAAGTATCAGCGATGTCAATAAATTTTCGTGTGTGATACTCCCATAATACATATATTTATTAAATAGTTGATTGTTTCTTGTTGTTGTTGCTGTTTCTTCTACATTCATATATATATTTTGCTACGAAAGATGATGTGAAACTGGTTGTGGGAATGTATTTTTTGTTTGGTGTTCCTTTTTATGTTTTGTTATGTTCCGCATTATAAATCCATCCAATTCGTGTGTTTTCTGTTTATTTTCTCTAGTTTTTGGTCCGCTATGTATGTATGATTAAATATGGATTCATTGAAGAGGGAGTTCTTCTGTTATTTTTTTTTTTTGGTTATCAAAAGTCTCATAAGAATAGCTGGTTTTTGGGCAAGGAATAAACAAAAAGTGGATTTTCCGATTAGATAATAATCGACCGATTTAATCGATTCGAATGTGTTCACGAAAAATTAATGAACAATTTCAATGCACGAAATTCAAATCAATCGAAACCGTTTTTAGCCTTTAAGCCATTAAAACCCACATTGAAAACGGGGTAGCTTTGGTAACGATCAAAAAAAGGGAATAAGAATTCAAAGTAAAACCACGTAATTCGGAACGGAGAAAATAAATGTCAAGGTAACTCATTTCCTTAATGGTAAACTTATTATTTTATCCTAATAATGTTCTACACAGGTAAGCACACTGAACGCAACACACAACAACTTACAACATTTTCTTTCACTTTGATGTGTTTTGTTGTTTCTCTCGAAATTTGGTGGTCAAATATGTAATACGGTGTATCGTTTTTTGGTATATATCACAAAATGATTTAACAATATTCGAGTACATCAACGACACTTCAAATGGTTTTCAATTTGAAAAACGAACTCTTCGAATTGCTCATATAATCATTTAATTATTCACACAGAACTAATTATTAGGTACTAATGTTTATTTGAAACTGTTACACGCTAACACATTCTAGCTCATTCACTCTCTGATATCGACGGAGAAAATATATAACCGTTTGGTTGAAAGCAAACAAAAGCAGGTGCCCGAAATCGTCGGTGTAAACACTGCACACACACAGCCATATAAATCATTACAGATTCATCAAAATAACAAAACTAACTTTACGATGCATATAATGTGAAAGCGTCGGGCATTTTCAATTGAAATTTGCGTCAAGAAATGTGCAAAAATTCCATTTTCGAAATAGCGAAGCAGAAGCAGCAGTTACATTTAAGTAATGAATGGTTTTGGTTATTTATAGTATCATTTAAATAGTGAAGAACGCTTGAAAAGTGTGAATTCAAGCAATTTTTCAACTTTAAATCGCACCACAAAACGAAATAAAGAGAACAAATTCCATTTGAATCAATAGTGTTTGTGCAATGAATTGGATGAAAATGTGGATCACACCCGATTTTAGAATGCATTTCCGCTTGTAAATTAATTATTACACGTGTAGTTAACACAAATCAGTTATTATTTTAATTAAAGCATTTTAGCACGAATACATTAATCATTTTGCTTAAAATCATTAGAATTGTAAATTATAAACCGCATTGAAATGCAACGGAAGATACGCAAAACATGGTCATTGTGTGTTTGTGCTGTCATGCGCTCGAGTTTTATGCAAATGATTGCATCTATTGTGATGCATGAATGATTTGCTCAATCTCTCACAGAGATAGATGGAGAGAGAGAGAGGGAGAGAGCAAGATAGAGAAGCAGAGACACAATCAAGCGCTGATTAAGACGAGAGAAAAGATGTGATATTATTGTTTATGCGATGTACAAGACTCAATTAGTACATTCAATTAGAACGAGCTATTTAATTTTGAATTAAAAACATTTCATGACGAACGTTAAACACAGACTCACACTTTGGTTTGCCACAGACATTGTATTGAGATATTTTTCCGGCAGCTGTGCTATTTTAATGAGAGTAAAAGGAAGCCTTCAAATTTGAATGTTATTCACGTTCTCTCTCGTTCTTTCTTCATATCTCATTCTATACAGCATCTAAATTCAACGGTTCAGTTTGCTGTTAACGTCTTTGTATTAGACATGCTCAATCAGTGTCCAGTTTCAGTGCTTTGACTATACACTGGTTTTTTCTCTCTCTCTCTCTCTCCCTTCTTTTTCTACCATTTACTTCACTAAATTGTTTTGTAAACATTGGATTTTTCTAAAAATTTGTTGAAATTCAGGGTATTCTCGAAGCTTGAACATCTCGAACTATTTACAATCTGTGAACTATACTTCTTTAAACTTGATCTAATGAATGATTGACCGAATGTGTGTGCTTTGGTTGGGAAATGGTTCATATCAGAGGGACGCAGAAGATTGATTGTTTGATGAAGTTTGTGGTTTTTTTTGGGTACCTGCGCTCTACGTAGATAATCGATTAAGATCTTAATTAGTCTTGAATTTTACACAACGTTGCAAAAATATATCCGATTACAAAGACTAACCATTCGATCCAAACAATGGTCAATTCAATTTTTTTCTTCTGCATGCTCGGTAGAATTGGGGGTGTTCGATGTTTTGTCTGAAGCCGCAGTGAAATGTAGTAAAATACTGTGGGCTGTATTGGTCGCAAATACCCGAAACAAAATAAAATACCATATACATTGGATGTGACCTTGTTTTTCTAAACCACTTTAAAGCACACAATGTTCGACATTTGCATAGCAATGACGAACAAAACCGTAATGTGCGCACATATTGGAGTGAATTGAATTGATTTTATGTAGTGACCAATTTCCCGGAATTACCTATCTACAGCGTAGAATCGATGTACTAATTAAATGTTGTCGAATAATAGCTTCATTTTGCTCTTTACCCACACTATCATCCGTTGTGGGAAACTTTGCAAATACAGTTACTTAATGTGAAAACTAGAATGAAGTCGAAATTGCACGCAAAAATATTTACATGTATTGTCAAACATATGTACCTTGAAAGTTCATTAAAATGGTCGTACATTTTACAAGATAAATGGCATAATCATTACGATACATGCACAACGAAGCACTTATTGAAAACATTGGGCTTATCTCCATAATTATTCCGCACGAACGACGAACAAAGTAGCCATGTATCGGACGATGCGTAGGTATCTGATGTAGAGCATGAAGAGAATATGCGGCAACTAAACCGCATACTCATCACAAAACTTTCCGTATGATTTTCGCCTTTGTTGTCATAAAATATTAAAAATATCCCATGATGGTCTTCATTCACTTTTAATTTGTTTAGTTCATAGATTTGTTGTTCTTACAACACAGTTGTGGTTTTTGCCTATGCGCCACGTCTTTTACTGTATCTATTTCATTGAATATACGCACATATGGCTCATTTGTTGACGAGCCTTTGGATATGGGCTCTGGAATATGGTCATCTGATGCTTTATTTATACGTAAAGCTTCTGACCAGCAGTCCAAGGGATCAAATCAACCACATACAGAATGGGTTCGAAATTTCTCCACTGCTAATTGAGATTTTTTTTTTGGTATGATTACCTTTTTTAATTTTTTTCTAAAAAAATTCCGGAAAATCTCTAGAATTAACGCCGTTTTGCTAACCTCACAAGCAATGTTTGTACAATTGATTTAATCAGTTTGTTTCACGTCGTTGAGCTGGGCAAATTCCGGTTGGTGTTAAGTTTCAAAAAAATCAATTTCCGGCAAAAAATTTACCCAAAAATTGTACTCAACAAAATATGTGCAATTCAAATCCATTATGATCCACCCGCGTAACAATCAATTGAGAAAAGCGGCAACAGCGACTTTTTGCGATTCGCTTTTCTTGGAGGTGTCATACTTTTTGGTAAATAAAAACAAAAATACTTTCGTATATCTTTTATTTCAATTTTTCTGTGTATAGTGTTCTCAAGAGTATTCTGCGTGGTGTGGAGTCCACCCAGGGAAATTCGCCATACATTGGTTTTTGGGTGTAGACTAACTCCATTATTACGCAGTGCCCACAGATTTATTTACTTATCCAAAGATTATGTTTGGGGAGCATCTGTTCATGTCTGAATAAATGACTTTGTTTTTATCTCGGATTCAACGCTCTGGCACAGAAAAATTATTAATTTACTATCCTCAATTGGCTATAATTGCTGACTTGTTTCTCATCATATTTTCGCCTGCATAATCCAGCTTCAAAAGTTTCATTGAAAATCAATGTAAGAGAATGTAAACCACGTAATCTCAATGGAATCGCTATGAAATCAATTATTCTGCATTACATAAAAACAAAGGGATAAGGGCATGCTCGGATATGAAGCTCGGGAATGAAGCCGTTTAAGCCTGTGCCCACATTTTTAAATGGTAATAATGCAAAATTATGTTAAATGCAAGAGAATAACAAGTATTTTTTAAATCCAAAGCCAAGCTACTTTAATTGCCTTGGATAATTCCGAATTTAAACATAAAGATATTATGCTTAGTTATATCGAATGGATGTTGAAGAGAGAGAACGAAAGCCACTCGCTTTGCTTTGTTGCATTTAAGCGATATTATAATTTTTTGCCGTTTTCATTCATTTTCCTTTGTTTGATTAACGGAAAAGTTTGCGATATTTACCCATTTTGTTTTAAATCTATTCTGATGGTCAATTAATGGACCTTTTATGGCTTTTCTGTAGACAAAGAATTGCAGTCAATCGAATGAAAAAAAAATAATCAACAACAAACCCGCTCAAATCATTATCCGTGAATTGAAAATGCAGGCACAAAAGATAATGGAAATACATAAAAAGCTATATTCCCTAATCTGTACGCAAACATTTTTTTTTTTTTTTAAATTGAAGAGAAGTTTCTCGGCTTGAGCTTGCATTCAGATTTATCAATTTGCTTTTTAATGTCGAAATTATTTTATGAAATAGCATTCATTTGACTGTTAAAAACCAAATAGAATTTGAATGAGTGATGTTGATATCTACCATATCTTTCATATATCTTTTTCTCTCGAAATTTTAAACCGTCTTTTCTGTCGTCGCTTTAGCCTCCCACTTTCATTTGCAAATGTGCGAACGACGAATGTGTGTGTGTGTGTGGCTGATGTTCCATTTTCAATCTGTTTCTTTCAATTTCGATCTGTCTGCACGGAATGAGTCCGTGTTTTTGCTCGCATTTTTAGGCAAGTGAGCCTGTAAAACACTTTGATTTGAACAGTGAGTTACTGAATTCGTATGACAAATACAAATGAAGAATTGTGTTTTCGGTTTTACCAGTTTTTCACGCGTTCAATCCAACCAATTCCATTTCCATGATGGCTTAAATTGATAGACACACAAACAATGTGTTGTACGCTGTTTGTCATTCGTATATTATTTATTTGGTGCCCGCGTATCAAGTTGAAA